CTTTCTCGAATTATCAAGAATACTCCTCAAGTTTTGATAATTGCAAAAATGCCCCTCGGAGTGATAACCTATCTACTTCCTGCTTTTTTTAGTTTGAATTGGGACCCGTCTGGGCCCCGCGCGAACAGGACGCCCCCTCTCCCCGCAGCAGTAGCAGAGTTCTCCCAAACCACGTCCAACTACATTTGAAACAAATCCAAACACCAGAGTCCCCGTCAGGCTTCCACACTATCAAGGCAGGCAAGAGTGGCGCCGCTGCCCTGAGCATATGAACTTGAGCGTTGAAATCAATTTTTTTCACGGCAAAAACAATCAGTGCTAGGTTTAGCGCGAAGGAGATGACGACGACACCCGCTGGTCCCTTTGCTCGCGTCTCCTCAACTGCGATCTTGTGCCTGCATCCTGCTTACAACAAAGTCCAAAAATGGTTTATAATTATGGGAATTGTGAAACGCTTCACTTCATAAACACCCAATTGGAGAAAATTGAATGAGTCTGGATTTTGCAACGTGGAAGTGATCACATGCGTGGATCGAGGAAGCTCGTTTGTACTCATATGCTGGGGTGAGAGAATTGACAATTACCTGCAGCCACGAAAACACAGTGCGCTGCTCTTGCTGTGACACTACATCGTTTTCTTCTTTACGACCCCAATCAGACGAAGCAAATCGCGCAGCCCGCTTTCTTGAGCCTCGACTTTTCCTGACATCGTCCTTCGACCGGCTGGGGAACACCCGGTTTCTCGACGTCATGGGGCTGACCAGCACTTTCACCCATTTGGGGCTCTTCGTGCTTTGCAATTTGGGATTAAAGCATCCTAGCCACGCCATGTTGTCATTCAAGCTCTCTCCACCGCAGTCGCAGTCGTGATCAATGCCATAGAATCCGAATCTTAACATTTCGTCTTCAAAACACATGTCATCAGCTTGCTCTTTGATTACTCTAAGAGCTGTGTCTTCCGCGCTGGACCAAGAGCCCAGGGGCAACGATAGCGACCTGTTTTCGAAGTATGAGTCGTTGTGGAAGGATCCCGAGATTGTTTCTTCGTGGTTCAGCTCCGTGCCGTCACTGCCACTAGAAGTCTGGGGATCATTAATCTCGCACAAGCCCGAGTTTGACGTTCGGGATACAAATTCATGAAATAGTTGACATCGTCTGGTCTATTCAAGCTTGAGGGGTATCCTAGCTCCCCCTGAAGCGAGTTCAGATACTGGTTAGACTGATGGAGTTGATAGTTGTCAAGGTTAATGATTTCTCGCTTGACTCCAGAAGATTTTTCAAGAAATGTTAACTGGTCGTCTCCCAGGGAGTACGGTTGGAGAGCCCGCCGCTTCTGGAGGCAGCGCACCCATTTGCTTTTCGTAAGAAATTGCTCTTTCTTGCTGCATTTCCATCTTCAGGTTTTTGTTCTTCTTGAATACACGGCAGACCACCCACCCACCGTCCTGAAAACCCAGTGTACAATTTAATAGGTTATCGAAAACCTAGAATACGAACTGCAAACTTGTCTTAAAAAAAAAAAGACGGAAAAAAACAGTAAGAAAAGTACAGAAATTGAAAGTTGAGCAGGAATTTGCATGGGTTGGTGGTTCGGATTCGGCGTCGAGGCGAAGCTCGTGCACAATCCAGTCACTCTTGATGCCATGTGGAGCACGGCCTTGATAGAATACGAGCGTTTTGCGCATGCCGATCAGAGTCTGGTTTAGCTTAGTGTGGATGGGTTGTCGCGTTTAGCGGTGGCGCGATTGGCTCGGGTGCAGGTTGAATACTTCCTTCCCTTGCGGCTGAAGAAATAGTAGTCGATTTGAGTAATTGGACGTGGTTTGGGAGAACTTTGCGACCGAAGCGGGGGAGGGGGCGTCCTGTTCGTGCGGGGCCCAGACAGGCCCCAGTTCAATCTAAAAAAAACAGGAAGTACATAGGTTATCACTCCGAGGGGCATTTTTGCAATTATCAAAACTTGAGGGGTATTCTTGACGTTTCGAGAAAGTTTAGGGGCATGTGTGATATTTGCCCTATGTGAAATCCGAAGGTGTGCATACTAAAGTGAGAACATATAAGATTTGCTATAATTGGAGAAAAATCCAATTATAGTTTGGATTATATTAATATAGAAATTGATCAATCATCTTGCCTTTTCTGTATAATTTCTTTTAGAATCTTCTTAAAATAAATATATATAAAAAAAAAGCAGCAGCATAATTACTCAAGTAAAAAATTGTTGTGTTGCTTTGATATTGTTTGGAAACTTCAGCATTTTTAAGAATCAAACGGTTAATTAGTTGGTTAATTTTTATTGAATTAAAATATTTTTCAATATAAAAATTTTAAAAATAAAAATAAAATAATTTTCATATATGTTTTTTAAGATAAAGCAAAAGATGTTAAAAAGATAAGAGATGTCAATATTTTAATAAATTTTAAGTTAAGTTTTATATTGAGATTTAGTTTGATTTTTTATAAATAGTTATCTTTTGGTAATATGTCAAGAAGAATAAAAAAAAACTATCAAAGTTTAGGATAGTTATAGTATAATTGGGCTTATAATGATTTTATTTTCTCATTTTAGTTTTTAACATTAAACATGCCCAAAACATATAAGATCCATATCAATATCCTATTTAAGTTGTGATATTTGTTGTATGTCAAAAGAAGTCTCAATCCTAGACTCTTATTCTTGGATGATATCTAATATTTCTCACACTCTTCTACTATTAACTCTTAAGGTAATTCTAAGTGACTAATTCACATTACTCATGTGTACCTACTTTGGTTATATAAGACTATCTTGTTGCCAAATATATCCCAATTACTTGAAGATGCTTTATTAAGCTAGTTGTAGCACTATCCTATTTCTTGTATAAGCACTCACCAAGATGAGCTTAGACACCATAATCCTTTGCAATTCTCTAGAGGTTAATAAAACTTGGAATGATTAATCATAGATATATTTATTTATAATTTGAACTTAAGGTTGAAAGACAAGAACTTAAGGAATAATTTTTTAATATTCCAATGCTAATGGATGAGATATAGTATAATTTTTAAAAACATTAAATACTTAAATTTATATTTATTTAATATTTTTGAGAAACAAAATATCTTGTTAAGATCATAAGAGTTTTATTGGTTAACAAGTATTAAATATTTGAATCTTACCAATGTTGAGTATCTTGTAATGGTCAAATTAATCACTATGTGCAAATGAATGGTGATATATTTGGAACAATAACCCCTCTTCCCACTCACGATTAACTAGAAGTCATTCCTTCCTCATTTCCATGCAAATTTAATTACTCCAATAACCAAAAAAAAATACTTGTATTCTCATTACTAAGATTGTACTTTTGCCTCAAGTAACTTCTCAATATTAGTTGGGTGACTACAAGTAGAGTTGGCTATTAGTCTATATCATATTGTAGAGGTATTGAGTCCCATTGAGTTGGGGAAAAACTTCAGAATTACTTGCAGCTATGGAGTGAGAGAGGGCAGGAATAGCATTACCCTAAGTTAGACACGCGTATTAGTAGTAGAAAGGTGATGAAGGGAAGAGAGTTAGCTTTACCTGAATCGGAAACCCGAGCTGCTCCATCGTTGAATTTAAGGCTTATAGCGGAGGGCATTCGATAGAAACCTCCTAACCATCTCCAGTGCGGGATTCAGGGTGCGTCTTCTACTGGAACCCACCATGTCGCGGGTTAGTGTCTCGGTGCAATCGAGATTCATGAGCCTGCACAATCCGCGAGGGCAAGAACAGGCTGTGTACAATCCAGTTCTAGTTTGCTCAGCATTGACATCTTCACCTGAAGCAGCCGTGATGCCTCTTCTATGCAATCACTGATGCACCCCACGAGTTCGAGCTCGTACACCCTAATAAGGAATGTGTAGAATCGACTGCATTCGATTGATCAGATGGAAGCCAGACCCTCAGCGTCACGTAAATTCATCGAGCTCCTGGTGGACACGGTACAGGTACATCGATGCTGCAACATGAGATGGGAGTAGTAACCGTGGACCAGGTTGTTGTTTGCTAACTACGTAGTGAGCTGGGAGTGATGGGTCGCAGAGATGGGACATGTTCCGTTACAACACACCCCACGATCAGTGCACGTGAAGAAAAAGTAGGATTCGAGCTTGTAGCCACTTGTTGGAATGAAGTGGAGCAAAGGAAGGCGCCGCTGTTGCCATCAACCACCATCCATTGTTGTTGTGGGTACCAGACCCCCACAAGACCAGTCAGTCAGTCAAAGCTTGATTTCATTGTTGCCTTTTTGGGAGGGGGATGTCTCTCCGCACACTCTCCGCCTGTCACACGCGTTGCAACAGCTTCTCCGCATGCCAAATGGTAGAATCTGGAGAGACCATGTAAACACACAATTCACGTACTATTCATCAAAAAACCCACCTGATCACTCACTCAATTGAAGATTTATGGATCAGTTCTAGTGAAAAAGGTTTAAGTTTCTGGATGTCTTGATTTTGATCCGCATGGGAAGTGGCCATCAAACACAATGTCAAACCCTTACAGTGCCAATAAGCTAATTATTGAAATAATTGAAAAAAAAAAAAACGCCGGATGTAAATGTAAAGTTTGTATTTTGATGCAAATCCAAGTTTTGTGTGTTTTTGCACATACTTTATTATACGTATCAACTACGGGCTATTCTTTAATTTGAGATACATTTAAGTGTAATTATTCTTCTGTAAAATCCTTCACAAAAATATTTCCAAAAAACTTGGAAGATGAAAGAAATCAATGTTGGCAATTTAATATCACCGTGAGATTAAATTTTAATTTATTCATAATTTATTCCTGCTGTTTAAAATATATACTTGTGTTCAAAAGTTTTAAAAAAATTATCTTGTTTGTATTTCTTCATTAGATTCACTTGTTCTTGAAGTCACATATACATATAAATACACACACTCACATACATACACAAATTGCTCTCAATAAAAGAATACCAAGCTATACATACATTGATTGACATGTCTTGTTGTATTATAAAAGATTAATTCTCAATAATGTATCCACATAAAAGGTCGATTACAACCCAAAGAACAGTATTGCAACACGTAATGGCAGTTAAGTACAGTCCAATACGATGCAGCCATGTACACTCAGGCGGATTGACCTTCATTGTCCTCATCACAAACAACTTCATCCATCCATCCATCCATCCATCCATATACCCATCAAACGAATGAATAAATCCGGGATGCAGAGGAACGGATGAACAGAGGGAGGGGGGGAGGAGGATGCACTTGCGCATCGTGAAGATAGTGCTCTTCAATGCGCTTCTTCAGTGTTTGCGTCGCAACATTCGTCATTGAATTGATAAATGTATGTGTATATATAAAATAGAATTAATAAAAAAGAAAATTTGGCTGGTGAGTACAAGTATTTTGACCGTAGCTTTTGACCGCCTTGCGGTGGACCCATCTAGGCAAAATCTCAGTCACTCCGGTAAGGGTCAGCAATGAGGTGAGGAGGCGCTAACTTAGTCTCTTCCTTGCGAGAGAGGAATGAGCTTGCTTACTCACCATGGAATGCGACATCGAAACTGTAGAGGCCGAACCACCGGTGCCATAGCTTGGGAGGCAACAAAAGAGTGATCACCCATTGAAAGATCTGGAAGAGAAGCGCCTGCGTGTTCCCTATGATCAACCGCAGCGTGTTGGAGTTGTAAATCTGTCCTATGACGGGGATGAATTGCACCAAAGGATCCCGCTGGAAGTAATCGCGCTGCACTTTCACCTTCTTGACCGTTTGCCCTTTCTGCCAGAATATCCCACTCTGGTCAATTTCTGATAACGGCTGCCACACTAAGACACCGTCACGTGAAGGCTTCCCGAGAACAACGATCTCAATTGGACACATGTTGAGTGAACCGTTTCCTCAATTTCTCACTTCCAAGTTAGTGTACAATTCTGAATCCAGAGAGGTGAACAAAAGAGCAATCGAGAACTTGATCGATCTAGGATTATACGGTTCGTCGTAGGAATAAAAGCTTCGCTCAACCCAATAAGAACAAAATAAAAAAAAAATACGGGAAATAATGAAGAGTTGTCAGTGTCGCAAGGAATGCACCTTGCAACACAAAATTCACAGATCCAGCATGCCAGACGGAAGTGGGATAAAGGTATTCACGAACGCACCACTATAACATCTTCAAGTTCGAGTAATGCAAAGAGCTCCAAGTTTATGGTGCGCCATAGCAACAGCCATGGCCGTATGTATACCGTCATTCGCACCGCAAGCGAATTCCTCACTTCGTCATACACAATGTTATGAAAGTCCACCCCACTGCAGTTAATTTCAACGTCAAGGGTTCGACGAGTCAGCGGTGAAGGGAAGCAAAAGGGACATAAACCACACACACAAAATCAGCTGTCCACCCACTGAGCACCGGACTAACCGCCACATCCACATTCTCACAACGGGATTAACAAAGATGCAATGTCGAAATTGGAAATTTTCACAGTTGATTGGGATCTGTGGGCGTCGCAGTCTACCTGTAGTTCAAGAAGAGCTGCCCCAACTGATAGATGGCAATCAAAGCCCTCAGCCCACAGTTGGTATTGAGGTACAAATGATAAAATTCCACATCATTAGTGAAGTACTTCTTCAAAGTCTCTGCTTGTCGCAACAAGGTCGGCTTATCTACCAATAAGCGCACCACCCCCTCCACCTCGTTCGCTGGATCCTCCATTGCCACTCCGCAGGTATTCCACAATCGCCGGGTAGTCAAGTCGCAACTACACAACCAACAAGTCTAAATCTGTTTCAACACATTAAATTGTACACAAACGATGATCGAGACCTCTGTAACAGCTGTCTGAAACAAGTAACCTACACAGGCAACAGAGCTCATATGGGATGTTCATACGTCTCTTGCAAATCAATAGAACGAATTAAGCTGGAACATTAACCCTATACTTCGGTTTATCAAATTTTTCTCTTGAGTGGGACCAACTGACCCAGAATGCTGCCAATCCCAACACAAAGGATCCCAAGTGGCGACAGCTTTGAGCGCCACGTGAACTGACCTATGACTGCCCCTCCAATGAAGTGGCTTCGTGACCACGCTCTTGGTGTGCATGTTTCTTTTGACACAACATCTACATCTACAATATTGCTCCTCCTCTAGGTTGCACAATCATTTTGAAGCACAGCATGCATTAGCCCATGCACGATGGCTGCCACTTTGCTTTGTGGTCCTCCCTTTTTCTCAACTTTTCATCCTCCCCTTCAATTATCTGGGATTTATCACTGGAGTGGGAGGGAACATTCTCGAACTCACCTCCGATGACACTGCCTTGATTCCTCCGCTCTGCATCGAAGCCTGCACCAGGTGACCAGGCTCTCCATGTCAATTAGAAGAATGTGATCAATTAATTGAAGGTGAGAATAATCGTCCAGGCTGAACGAAATTAGTAATAGAGAGTTTGGCCCATTAATAACATCATAACTGATATATTTCCGAGGCTTTTCTTGCTCCAAGCTATACTGAAAATTCCAAGGGTTGTATGGGAAGATTGTTACCCTGTCGCTTCGCATGATAAAGCAGAGGCCTAGAACTGAGACCACACATATTATATTGCAGATTACTTGGCAATCGATCGGTGCATAAAACACAAACAGCTCCACAATCCCCAATGGTATATAATGTACAGAGAGAAGAAGCTGCCAATACTATCTTAACATACCTTCAATTTCTTAATTACACCCACGAACAATTCCCATACATGTCACATGTAGACCAGATGCTCAGAAGTAATCTGACATTGAATGGGGTTCGCAGCTACTTCTGAAACACTAACTAGTTCCCTCCCCTTGCAAGTGATCCTGATTGCAGATGACAATGCAACGAAGGCTTTGTTCAAGAGTTGCAACAGGTTTACCCTAGCTCTATTCTCCCCGGTGGAGTTGACAACGCTTTGAGATCATTATTTTCACTCTCTGGGTACATGGTCGTCGACCTAGTTGCAGGAATTTCACGCAATCTCCCAGCCGTCGACTACAGCTGCTGCTTAGCTGTTGAGAATATTCAGAAAGGATCACTCGGGACCGACCGTTCCTTGGACAGTTGCTAACTTGTGCTACTTCAAATGATGCGTGGGATGGATTGACTGTATGCTTCGGTCGATCGAGTCCTCTCAACGAATCCAAGAATTGTTCGTCGTCAAAAGAACAATTATGCCGTTGGAACGGGATTGGAACTCTCAGACGTAATACTCCATGCCCACCTTCAGCAACCTGTCTTTAGGGATGCTTAAGTACAGCGTGTTGTTGCGGCAGTTCCGTCGCAAAAACTTGTAAATCTTATTGATGATGATGCGTTTAGGAAACCACGAGTCGCTCTTGGCGTGGATGTCACTGTCGCCAAGCACGTACACGACGCCTGCTTCTCTGGCCTTCTGCAAGAACAGAACTTCCTCGTTGGTGTAAGCTTCTTGATCGGCTTCCAGCTCATCCACAGTCTTTGCGCCGATGTCTGACCCACAGGAGTCGTTCGAAACCGACGACTCGCAGGGCCTATCTAATTTGTGATGGCTAGGAGAGGCGGCATGGGAGGAGGCCAGCCCTGATTCAGGAGTGACTTCCGCCGCTTCCGTTCTGATGAACCTTTCCAGGCTCGCAAGGAGCATGTTTTCAAAGGTCTGGCCGTCTGATTCAGCCCCATCCACATGATCTGTGTAGCCGTAGCGAACTGCACAACGGAACATGCGGTAGTTTCTGGGACCGAGCCTGCGGATAAGGATTCGCTCATCTTCGGGGACGGTGCTGACAGAGATGTGGCGGATGCAGACGAACACTAGAGTGGAGTGGATAGCAGGGAGATTCGAGATGAAGTGGCGAAATATTGCTGGAACTCCCTGCGGAAGCTCAGTGTATACGAGCCCGACTCCCGGAACTCGAGAGATTCCTAGGCTATGGCCAAGAGACAGAACCCAGTCCAAGGAAATCTTATGAGAGACCTCATACAAGCGTTTCATCCTGGTGCCGAAGTTCCACGAGTACATGATCGTGAGGAAGCATGCGGCGATAACGAGGGGAACCCATCCGCCCTGCGTCACCTTGGAGAGCACCGCTGAGAAATAAATTCCCTCGATGATAAAGAAGACGGTAAAGAACAAGGCGCACAGGAAAATATTTGTCTGCCAGATCATGAGCATGATGAGCGTGAGGAGGCACGTGGAGATGAAAAACACCCCCACTACCGCAATCCCGTAGGCGTGGCCGATTTGAGTGGTGCTGCGGAACCCTCCGACGATGGTGATACTCAACACCATGATGATCCAATTGATCTCCGGAATGTAAATCTGGCCGTGCACCTTCTTAGAGGTGTGAACTATGGTGACACGCGGGAAGCAACCCAGGGACATGGCATTTCTGATCATCGAGTATGTCGCTGAAATCATAGCTTGACTGGCGATGATCGCCGCGCATGTAGCGACCCCGAACATGGGCCAGTAAATAGGCTCTGCAACACAACATCATCAATATACTAACTTAATGAAGAGGTACTCACTATATTTAGTTCAGCACGCTGAGGCTATAATTATCTCAAATGACACGATTAATTACGTCGGATTGTGGAATCAAATTGAAAAACCAATCAAAATGCGTACTTGGAACGGAGCGGTAGAATGTGTAGGCCACATCGTCATCAAGCTGATTCTTCATAAGAAATGAAGCCTGGCCGATGTATGCACATAGGAGAGACGGGAACACCAAGAATGTGAAGGCAACCTGCATTGACTTGACAGTAAAATGGCCCAAATCTGCAAACATCGCCTCGCTTCCTGCACAGCAAAGTTCCTCTTCATCATGTTATTCACACAGCACGTACTAAAACAATCAGGAATGGCTATACACGCTTCTCTGAGTGCAACCGTTCATCATTACTTTTTAACCATGAGGGTGAGCATTGTAGGATTAATTTGGAAAATTGGGGAAGAGAAGCTTGAACCAACTTGCCTGTAATGCAGAGAACGATACCTCCGAGGGAAGCCCAAGCGTCTACTTTGTTTCTGATGAAGTAATTAAGTCCATACCAAGGATTGAGAGCCTTGAACACCGAAGGATCCCATCTGAAAATGTTGTACAGCCCTATGATGCCGATGGAGAAGAACCAAGCCAACATCGCTGGTCCGAACAAGAAAGCCACCTGTACACACGTCACTAGAATCAATCAGTCGCATGAAAGTGAAATAGACTAAGCTCATTTCTTCTTCTTAGTTGCAGTTCTGATTAATGATAACTTCAATCAACAATAACTCTACTTTAAAGTGCAAAACAGTACTGTATTGACGTTACCCTGTGAGTGCCAAATCGCTGAAGGCTGAAGAGGGCTGCCAATACAACGACCGTGATAATCACCGACACATCTGGGACAAGGGCAAAAATTGTGGGTAGGTAAGTGATATAGGGTCAAGCGTAAGTTGAGCAGAGCACGTACAATCCATGTACAATCAAATCTGAGACGTAATTCTACTATGTGAATAACAACAAAGTCGATTGGGGTTCAAGACATCAAAAATTCAATGGTTCAGCGAAGTCCTTACTGGGAGAAAGGCCACTAACGTTCACGCTGATACCCTGAATGGCCGATAGAACTGCAGCCCACAATAATCAAAATTCGTCCATGAGAATTAAAACCGAAGACTGACCGCACTCACAACGGTGACTCAATACGGCAATGGGTGATCGGACAAAAGAAGAGCACCTGAGATGGCGGGCGTTAGGGACCCATCGCCGATGACCAAGCAAGGCCCTAACAGAACAATCAGAAGCAGGACATTCTGCCAAGCTCTGCTTTTCTCAAGCGCCTCCTTAATGCGCGTCGCCCTAGCCATCTTCGTGGACGGTGTCTCCAGCTTGTAGCTTGAAATGTTCAAGTCTGTGGGCTGCTGCGCGTGAGCCCCGCTCAGCTTAACGTGTCGACAAATCAATGAATACAACGCAAATGTACCCCCTACAACGATTCAGTCCATGGAACACTGCTTAGAATGTTTGTCATTGAGCTTTGTGGAGGATCATTGAGACATAATTGCAAAGGTATAGGAATTGTCGATTTCACATACCTTCGCCATTGTCGTTTGCCCGAAGGACGATAAAGATGTACTTGACGAGCGGAGTGGCAATGATGGTGTAGATGATGAGACAGAGAACGCCCAGAATGTCGTCGTTCGTTTTGATGCCGCTTGTGAAAGTGCTACTGTACACGTAGAGCGGGGACGTACCCAGATCACCATACACCACCCCGATGCTCTGATACGCCAGCTTCAGAATGAACGAAAACGATGCTACCTGCAGCAGCCGCCACGCCCACACTCCAATGATTTACAACACAATGTATGTGGTTCTGTATTCTACGTGAGCTATCACTTTAGCGCGAAAGAACATGAGCTTCTCCCAATTCGGTGAAGAGAAAGTTCGACACTTACAGGTGCAGCATGGTCCATTTCTTTCACTCGCATGGACTCCACGTCAAGGGAATCGGGCCGCGTGAGCTTCCGCGACAACCGTCGAAAGGGACCTTCCTTCTCTCGATAGGCAGCCTCATCCGCGTGCAAGGCCTCCCGACTGATCTCTTCATCTTGCGCAGTTTGTTCTAATGGAGGTCTTTCTCCAGTTTCTCTCTGATGGACTGCGTCTGTAGACATTTGCAATTCAACCGCCGACGTCTCCATGATCAAGAATTGACCAGATATACGGTGAACACACTGCGAGAATACTCACGTTTACGTTTGTCAGGATCCAGGAGTCGGTTGCAAACTTCGAGGAATAGTGATCAGGAATATGAACAGCAAGGGCACCAGAAATTCAAGTAAAATAACTCAGTAATTAAGACTCGTGAGCGTCGATTCAACCCACAAATGGTTTAAAAAAAAATTAAATGGCACAACGCCTCAAATTAGAACAACTCAAGAAACTATATACAATTCACAGGCAGCCACAGTAACAACGGCTTGCAGGAACTAGAGCAAGCAGAAATGAAGCTCAGGAAAACAAATAACAGTCCATTCGTGAGCGACGGTAGTTCTCTAACTGCTAAATTCATTTTTCTCTAAAAACCATCATTCTCGACGAAATAAGCAACTAGTTCGAGCTTCCTAATGTTTAGCAGCACCAAGAGGATGATACATAGCCAAACAATCGCAACCTCCGTGACTGATACACAAATCGTTTACCGTAAACTGCGACGCGGGTGCAAAATGCAGTCAACCAAACGTCGCACACACAACTGCTGCTGGCAGTGCCACCCAGTCAAGATCACAGCACCGTTCCGAGCATGTTGACCTTCTCAATTATCACACGACGACGTTATCCCACCAAAAGACCGACATCTCCACCGCAACCGCAACTCAATCTCGATCAGTGCAAGACAGTTGAAACAGTGGTAGCGACAAGTTGAAAACCTGCTGTAAGTAAGATCGAGGGCAGGAAGAAGCGGACAGTGGAAGCAAGCTGGGAGGACGAGACGAGATGGGGAGGTGGGAAGGGTGCCCACACTGCGAACAGCTTATCAGACGCAGCGACGACCAGCAGAGGTTACACGAAGGGCAAGATCATGCGAGGCAGGCAGAGGGAGAAGCTGGGGGAGCAAGTCCGGGAGGAGGGAGGGCTATGGGAGATGCGAAGTGCGGAAGAAGCCGATCGAGAGATGCTGCTGCTGCTGCCACTCGTGCACGAATGGAAGCCCCATGGCCCCCGAACTTTATAGTATGATTACGAAGGGGGAGAGGAGGAGACCAAAACTTCCTTCCGAGTAGTAGTCCACCTGGTTCTGCTCCCCAAAACTTGATGATGGCTTCGCTTGCCCTCCCTCCTCTCTCAAGTGGAAAGCACTGGCGGGACCCAGGGTACCGAACTTTCGCGGGCACCGTCAAAGCCATCCATCCGCTAACTCTGCTCTCTACCTCTCGCTTTCCCCCGTCTCTCTCTCTCTCTCGCTCCATCTCGCTCTCCCTCTCTCTCGCTCCATCTCGCTCTCCCTCTCTCTCTCTCTCGTTCTCGGCATGTGTGTAAGCTCTCGCTCTGTTTTCCTGCCTGCGCAATGCTTGCACTGCCTCCGATCGACTTGCTCTCGTTCCCGTGCACATGACGACGCCTTCCCATCTGTTGCCTACATGCTTGCCTGCCTGCTGTGCTCGCAAACCCCCTCAACCTCACTTCTTCGTAGTGTTCGACGCTACCACTCCTCCATCACCACCGTTCCGTCTTCCTCATTCTTCTTTTGCTGCGTCTTCTTCTGCTTCTGCTTCTCCTTCTTCTGTCATTCTTATGGTTCATTGTTTCTGTTTGGGACTGGGTCTGGTTTGGTTTGGTGTTGTAGTGTGGGTGGTGGTGCCCATGGAGAGTGGCAGCCGTGGGGGGTGCTTTTTCAGCTTCTTTCTTTCTTTCATTCTTTCTCTTCTTCGTCTTCGTCTTTGGTGCGACACTCGGGAGGCCTGCAGCGTCGCATTCGGGTTTCGATACATAAAATCTCTTCTTCTTCTGCCCACGCTTGATCTTTATAATCATAGCAGTTCATAATTTGTGATTATGGGTGTGTTTATGATTTGGTGACGAGAATCACTTGACATTGCTATTGTTCCATTTTTTTGTGTACTACATGACATTACATTATGTTCAAACATACCAATAGGATTTGTGATTATGTTGAGCTTGCATGTTGCACAACAGTATGTCTGTGATCATGGAATTTGAATGAGAATGCCTTGATCTTAGTGAGTCTGTTCTTTTTTCTTTTTCTTTTTTTGTTCTTCTTCGGTGGAACTATAAACCAACTTATAAAATTTTCAAAATGACTCACGTATATATAACTTTATTTCTCCATTTGACATTTGTGTTGGAAAAACAATTAAATAAACAAATAAAGAAAGGACAACAGCAACAAGCACATGAAAACTTCAGAGAATGTATGGTGGGTCCAATTGATACAACACTGTACCCAAACTCTTTTTTTAATAAGCATATTTAATTCATGTTTTTTGAGAGTGTATTACAAATGTACAGGGATATTACATTATTTTATTGGACTTGTTTGTAGGCATTATATTTTTGAAACACCCAGAATGTTGAAGCAATCGTGATATCATGTTAATTTCATTCTGATAAGTAATAAACATTAAAATTAATTAACTTTTGTTGTATCAAAATTCAAATAAACGAATTTAATATAGAAATTAGTTTGGGAAATCAGTTCAGGATGAATGAGATCACAACAGGGTAACAAAATTCTATCAACCATTCAATCAATTAGTTGATATTTAAATAATTAAAAATTATACTGTTTAACAATAAATTGTAATGGAATTCATATTTAGATAATTAGAAAAAAATAGAATAGTAGAAATTAATAATTCAAATTTACCATTCATGTTACATTGTAATTATGAGGCTCAAAAATAAGAATTATCCTACATGTGAAAGGGTGCTTTTCTTTTAAAGACCAAATGATTTTACCAGAATCATATTTGAATACAATGACCACATGTAAGAGCTTGGCATATGATTGCATTGAAAGCCCAACTCTTGAATAATTCAGTAAAAGTTTTATTATAAGATAGAATAGTTTTAAACAAGTTTTTAAAAGTAAAAAGTATTCAGTTTAGGCTTCTAATATTTTAAAATAATGTAAAACATATATATATATATATAGTCATTCTTTAAGAAAAATCACTTATGCATTTTGAGAAACTAACAATCAAGATTTACAATTTCTTCAATATGCATTAATTTAGGTAAAATAAATAAAGGTATAGCAACACAGATTTGGTATATTTAAATTAATTCACAAAAATATGTGCAATTTAAGTAAATATAGTACCATAATAACAAAAATTGCTTCAGGAGTTGAAACATATGAAAAGATGCACAAGAAAACAAAACAAAACAAATTTTATAGTATGAGTATTCACACTATAAGATTTTTAAAGTTTTATTGTTAAAAAAATAAATTCAGGCTCTGCAACTGGTGTTGCAAAGACTGATTTTGATATTATAATTGTAATACAAGCATATAATAATCCTAACATATCTTATATGATTTTTCTTCATAAATTTATTTTTATTTTTTTTTTTGCTAATAAGATTATCATTTGCTGTAAAGTTTAGTTTAAATTGCTTCATATGTCTTCAAATTTTTTAACAATCATTTAAGTAGAAAATAAGAGTAGCTTCTTATCTGTCGTAAAATCCACAAAGATCAAAAAAATCATTTCAAGGAGAAGATTAGCACTAATTCTAACATTATACAAAATCCAGCATATCATTGATAATAATTCAAAATATTTGAGCACAATAATAAATCAAGAAATTCAAATATTTGCTAATCTTGATATTAGAAAGAACCATATTATAAACACATATGATTTAAACTCTATTATATAAGCCACCATTATTAACATCAATCTAAGAGTTATATCACTATTAATAATAAAAAAATAGAGTGGTTAATAATATAATTACTACTAAAGCACTTGAATAGGATGTTTTACTCTATAATTTTCAAAGATCTCAGATTATATCTAAATCTATAACTGTTAATATTAAATCTATCTAATTTACAAAAATATAATACAAAAAAGCAAATAAATGCACAATTTTACAATAATTTTACTAATTATAAAATCACATTGCCTAAGAACAAAAAATAAAAAATAAAAATCAATTGCCAAAATGCAAATAAATTTAAGAATTTTTTAAAAAAGAAAAAAAATCAAATATTGATGCAATTAGTGACATTCATAATATTTTAAACATATCTTTATAACTTAGAAACAACTTCAAAATATCAACACCTTTATCAAATTCTTACACTTCTAAATCTCTTTAATTAGTATGTATGAGTAGAATTCGACCAATAAGTGTAAATTAAGCTTTATTCTTAATTTATTTTTTTGTTTAGATATTAATTTTTTAAAAAATAAAATAACATAATATTATTATTATTGAGCTTAATTTACATAAAATTTCTTTGATAATAAATTATACTATTTTAGCTTCTATTTTATACTTTTTATGGTATAAAATAAATACTTTTAAAATCATAAAATCTAAAAATTAATTAAATAAAATATTTAAATAAAATAAAATATAAAGAATAAGTTTTTATAGTATATTGCCAATTAATACATATAAAACAAAGGCTTCAATTTATTTGATTAAAAGACACTCTTGGTATATGGATAATTAATATGATATTAAAAACTTTGAGATATTATTATTTTTATGTCATGATTTTTTGTGTCTTGCCAAATTTTTTTAATTGGCATGTTATATTAAATATAACTCTTTCATCAAATTGAATTTAGAATTTCATTTTTTCCTATAGAAAAAATGAAGATTCAATTTAATAAGTATTATTATTTGAAGGTTAATTCTTATTTGTTTCTAAAAATCAAACATGTATTAAATCTAGAATCTTTGATGTAAATACTCTAAAAGTGTAGTTCAATGAAAAACACCTAGAGCACAATAAGTTGTTAAGAATGGTATTACTTTAAAATTGATGTTGCAAAAAGTAAGGCCATGGAGATGAGATGATGCTTCAGAGTACCTAACATTATAGCACAAGGAGCATTTGAAAGCAAGAGGATTGCTTGCATTTTATCCTAAGATTAAATAATTGTTCAATTACAATAATTATAGGGCACTTAACCTCACTCTGATTTCTTTGTTATACTTGTATTGTATCACAAAGGATAACATTGTGGTGGAATTGTGATGTAATTAGGATTTTTATTAGAATTACTCTAAATTGGTCCCACAAGTATTTTAACAAGATCCTTGTAGTTAATACTCAACATGGTTTTGTATATGGAAGTATTAAAGGCAAAGATGGCTCATACTCTAATAGTACCTACTACCTGAAAGGGAGAAAGGCAAGTGGAAAGAGCACACAAGTATAATCAATTAGAGCCAAAATTAATAGCCACAATAACTAATTTAAATAAGTTCACATCCATCAATCCAATCTACATCATTTTAAGTGAAGTTCTTTTTGAGGACTTATCATGTATTGATATTGGATTTTTACTAAAAACTTGTATAATTGAAATGCTTTTCAATAGAAAAAAAATAAAAGCAAAAATAAACCAGTTACAACAATGCTCTATTATCTCCTATTTTGTTGGAAGACATCTTTCCAATAAAACCTTACAAGTTTAGTTTGGACAATTGAAAATCAAGATAAGAAAAGATATGCAGCTTAGTCAAGAGCTTGGACATGGGTTTATTTTAAATTAGTGAGCAAGGACGAAGCTATATCTTAAAAGATTCTTATGCAAATTCCATACATTTTATAGTGAGGCACATGTATTTTTTAACTTTAAATGATAAGATTTAATTCAAAAAACCCCATCAACATAAAAATACCAACATGGATTACATTTAAATCAATTCTTGATCAATTTTTAAGCAAAGCTAGTGACATTATGTAAAATTTGAGACTAATCTTGGAAAGAGACAAATGCACTTAAATAGGGGCAAACATGAAATTTTGCATTGCTCTTATGAATGGCACCTTATTTGACATTACAGTTTGTACTTTTAACCTTGTTACTAGTATCACTATAAAACTTTAAGTAGATCACAATAATCTATCGATCTAATGTAGATATTGTCTATCAACCTTACATTTGATACGAGAGAATTTACCAATACAACACCAACAATGAGT